GGGGATGTATATATATATATATATATATAGAGAGAGAGAGAGAGAGAGAGAGAGAGAGAGAGAGAGAGAGAGAGAGAGAGAGACTATTTGAGCAGACAAAGTACAAGCAAGTAATGATAGGGGCTTCTGAAAAATAACACAACTTTCGCCTTAAGTTATCACAAGTAATGGATTCATGTGTTCATGTAGAGAGAGAAGGAGAGAGAGAGAGAGAGAGAGAGAGAGAGAGAGAGAGAGAGAGAGAACAGAACTAAGACACTACATCCCATCTGCGTGCAGCGGTTCATGCTGGATAGCATGACAGATGGTCTGAATCTTTAGCCTCTACACCAAAACCGCGTCGAAGTGCTGTCCTCTACACCAAAACCGCGTCGAAGTGCTGTCGTCTACACAAAACCCGCAGAAAAAAACAACTATAGAAGTGCTGTCCTCTACCAAAACCAAGTCGAAGTGCTGTCCTCTACCAAAACCAGGTATGACGGACAACATGTTATGGAAATCCAGAGTTTGGCTACGGACACTACGAAGCTGCAGTCCTACCTGACATCCAAAAAAAAAAAAAAAAAAACACTTCGATCCAAACAAACAGACGTGTCCCATATAACCGACAAATACATGGCCATTGAACTGCATTCGGTTTAGCCCTCGTGTTTTTTTTCAGGGCAGTTCAATGGTGCGGTGTAGCAAGGAAAAAAACGAACTAGGTGCTTTGATGCAGCGAGGTAAAGACGTCATCCATCCGCATCGTCCTCWGGAGATCTTGCCCTCCTCCTTGACAAGCTGCGAATGGCATCAGCAAGAACCAAATATCCCTTCTCCAATCTCTCGCCCAAGTTCTCTGCATTGCTCGAATGGGCTACGATGTCCCCACGCATGACTTCACATGCCATCGTCGCCGCTCTCTCTTGTATGCTCAGCTGCTCGCGCAATATCTGGTGATGGGTGATGTCGGATCTCGTCTGTGCGGCCGTATGATCCCGCATAGCCCCAGTCATGGCGCGCATAACCAGCTCGAGTGCATTCTGCTGAACCCTCTTCCGCTTGCCCAACGTTTCAGTGATGGTGCCTGACGTTCTTGAACCTCCGGCTGCTGATGTGGCTGCACCAGAGTCCTCAGGAACGGGAGAACCCCCCCCTCCGGCCGATCC